GTGTCATTTTCTGACCTGATGAAGGCATGTGTATGAGAGACGTGTGGTGGGAAGGGCTATTTAGAAGCCGCAAGTGTGTCCCCCCAAGCCTACAAGGTAAATCAGAAGCTGCGGTGCATCCTTGGTTCAATGGCAGATGAGCGCAGACAAAAGGATGCAGGATGGTGGGTCTCAGCCGGGACCCTAGACGCAGCCCAAGTCAGGAGTGAAGGTGGAAATGTCATGAGTGGGTTTGTCCCTAAGCACTAAGGCACTTAGGGCACCTCTGACCTGATGTGAGTCTTGCTTCTCATCAAACTCCACGGACACAAGTGGTGCAACCTCTAAGCTATAAGGGAGCTCTAGGGAACCATGCGTGTTTCACTTGCATTTATTTTTATTGATGCAATATTCACATAACATACAATTGAGCCTTTTAAGCTATGAAATTCACTAGAATGCAGTAAATAAACAATGTCTCAATGACAACGTCTATGTCGTTTCAAGAAGGTTTTATAAGCCACCCCACCACACACACATAAAAAACAACAACACCAAACAGTCTGTCTCCCATCTGCACTCCTGGTCCTCCCCTGACAACCCAAACTGACTTCTATTTCAATGGGTTTCCTTCTCCTGGACATTTCGCATAAATGAAATCACACAACACATGATTTTTTGTGCCCGGTTTCTGTCTCTGAGCTGCATTATTATGAGGTTTTCCCACAATGGACCAGGTACCCGTCCTTTGTTCTTTATGGTTTAAACTAATCCCAGGGTTGTGAAGATACCTCATTTTGTTGGGATGGATGTGACCCAGCATGAAGGGGTGTATAGATGTGAATCCGAACCAGCCATGTGGGACGGACCCTAATGTCACAGGGTGAGAACAGAAGGGCACTGGAGGAGAGTCAGCGAGGACAGGGAGGGAGGGAGAGCGCCCAGGTGGGTGGAGGAGGACATGGACCACGTTCTCCTGCACCCAGACCTCACCTACCATGTCTACTCCCCTGGACATTCTTAACAGACAGTTTCCCCAACTATGGTCCCGACTTTACTTCAGCACCTCCTGGGATCCTCAGATGGCCTCCAAGGTTCCCCCACTCTGAACGGTGCGTTGTTCCCTCTGTGTTCACATGCTGGCTGCATCGAGGGCCCTTCTGGTGTCATTCTGAGGTTGTTTCGAGCCTCAAATAGCAGCACCCCAAGGACCAGCAGGATCAAGCCAGCCACAACAATCCGGATAAGATTCTCCACTGTGTAGTCTTGGGGATGGAAAAATAAGAATTGTGGGTAAAGAGGTCTCAGAGGTCAGGGCAGACCCTCATCTCCAGGATTTTGATGTTCAACCTGGGCTCCCACCTCCCCTTGACATCAGTGTCCCTCTGATGTCTGAACTCAGCACCTGCTCTGACTCACCGTGAAAAGAGTTAGCTGTGCCCAAGAACTGAGGATGAGTAAGAAATGGTCCCAGTTCAGAAATAACAAGAGTTGGGGGTTCTGTGTTCACTCTGAGAATCAAGACCCCATGAGCTTATTCCCCCACAGCTGAGAGATTCCATGTGTTCCACAGCTGGGGACCCAGGTTCCGTGGAGGAGGGGTTGGTGTCAGAGCCTCCTGGATCTTAGGAGCATGAGTTAATAAAAGAATCAATAGATGAGCAACTTCAAGTGACCCATGAGAGGAGGAACCTGGGTGAAGTGGAGTGAAGGAGACCCAGCTCAGACTTTCACCCTTTCATGCTCATCTATTGATTCTTTTATTAACTCATTTATTTTACAATAACAAATACCTACAGTGGTGGATATATTTTCCAGATGAAAAATATGGGTATGTGGATGCTGATCATGTGATCATTTTATTTCAAAAGACAACAAACTTCAAAACCAAGAAAGTCCTCAGTTCTGGTTCAAATTTAAGTCACAGAGAAAATCCCCCTCATTTTAATATTTACTTAGCACCAAAAGTAGGAAATTATGTCAGTCTGCTACACCATCTATATATATATATAAGCCTAAGCAACCGATTGACCAGAACAACTGGTCGACCAGTCGTTATGATGTGCACTGACCACCAAGGGGGCTAATGCTCAATGCAG